GTGTATTTATTGTAAGATTGTGCCATTGTGGTAGGTATTTTGATGAATTCAAAAATTCACAGAGGTATTAAATTAATGTATACGTCTTCACTCTTCACGCATAGTTTGCTTAACATTCAAAATTAACAATTATTTTGATTCAAAGATATTATATGATATTTAAATTTTTTAACCATTTGATGTTTTGTTACTTTTTTTTTTGTAAACATCGACAGTTCAAATACTAAAAAAAAAAAATAGCAACGTGGGTTGCAATATAGATTACGGCTTCTGCGTAAATTTCAATGCTTATATTAATAAATTATAATATAATAATTTGAACGGTTTAGTGAGATATCACAAGAAGTTCACGAAGAAAACTATTTTCCCACATATTATGCAAATTTTTACGTTAAGATGTAACGAAATACCGGCGTGACACAAATATCATAAAAACATAAATTAGTTTCAGTAAATAGCAATAATAACTTATAAGTACTTTTATTACTGGTAGGAGGAAAAAAAGCCCATGAAAAAAGCCCAAAAAAATAAACACACCAAGAAAAAAAGCCCAGAAATATAAATATATACATAAATGTGAACACATGTATACTCTACTCCTAATTTATTAGGAATTACTATGTACCTGTAACAAAATATAATAACATACTATCATGAAAATAATAATTAATTGTTAATTGTATAAAATATAGATTGGAAATAAAATAAAAATAAAAATATGAACACAATATTATGTATACGTCATGATAATATATTGTGTTACAAGTTATAAGTAAAAAAACATAAGTCTTAGGTATATACATATTAAAATATTATCTGTCGACTGTTATCTAAATATATAATACTACCACCTGCTTTGTATTAACTTATTATATTGTTATTTATATAGTCGTGTAATTTTTGTATACATTTTAGTATACATATACCTAAGACTTATGTTTTTTGATTTATAACTTGTACTAGTATTTATATACCTAAGACTGATAGTTGTTGACACATTATTACTACCTATATGATGCATAATGTATACGGTATTACGGTTTCATAGCAAGGCCTTTTAGTATGGCTATTATATATTATTATAATAACATTCGAGGAAATAGAGGCAGAAAACGATTATGAACTAATGCACTATAAGTATAGAAATATGTAGGCTCATTGAAGACGACTTCCTAACTTAATGATATTTTTTGCTTTTCACAGTTGTCGATAGGTACTTAGGTTTTGAGATCAACATTCGAATACGAATGCGCTTTTAGTCTTTAGACGTGTGCATGTGTGTGTGTGTGTGGGTCACTAGTATAATAGTAAATAATAATATTATTATGACGTATTATATACGATTTTATATTTCTATTATATTGTAGAGTCCGATGGTTGTGTAGCGACTTTTTGCTATGATGACATGATAAATTTAATACACTCTATACTCATAATAATATGAAGCTATCGATTTCTTATTAAAAAACGTGCCATAATATAATATTATACACGTTAAAGAAAATAATGTTTATTTGGCGATAACATAACAATATTATAATATTATAATGTTATGTGTGTGTACAATAATGACATATTCGTTCGGTCTGTGTACTAGCACTGCAGCTGCTGCAGCAGCAGTCGACTAAATCGAGTCACCTCCGCCTGCTCACCCCACATCCTGCACGTCACTACCGCGCCACTCCTACAGCTAGCTATATATTAGTTTCTTTAAAACTGAAATATTTACTACGATCCTGCCACAGGAAATTAAATGTACGACGACTATACTGTAACACGCGTTGTACGTATAATATGACACTGTTTTACACGCGCGCGGAAGGTCATCAACCGTGGTTGTGCTGTACAATAATATTATTATTTACATTTTCCGACCGGCCGGTAAAAATAAACAAACGATAATAACTGAATATTCATATCGATTTGGCTGGGTCTATTAATATTTTACGCATTACCCAATATGCACAATATAATATTAATATTGAGCAATGTATGCGAATTCGACCGATCGATTTATCGCAAAAAACGTAATTGCTCATCGTAATCCTCGTCCAATAATAATATTATTATATTATTGTTATACTGACATTGAGTGCAATAGTGCAATAGTATTATTATTATTATGTTACAATTCAAAGGCACCTAATTGCACCAATATTACCCTACGTAATCACCGATATTGTAATAATTGGTTAATCGTTACTATAATGGATATCAATGAATATTATTATATCAATATTTAGATCCAACGGCCGTGTTGGATTTAGCTTTCAACTCTCAACGTTTCATTTCAGAAATTTCAGAAGTGATAACTGAAATATTGCCAAAGGTTCATACACTCGTGTACTTCAACAGTTTGCTGGCTTAATGAGTTCATTGATAAGTGATGATGTGTACAATAATATATTATTAAGTATAATATAGAAATGAATATAGAATATATTATTTATCTTAAAATAATATAGTATATTGTTGTTTGTTTTTTTTTTTGAATTTGTTTGATAAATACATTGATAAAATAACGTTATCCGGAAGTTTTAGTATATATACATGAGTGTAAAGCCATTCTAATTTGTGAACATCATAATTATTTTTTCATTCGTCTTAATCATATTTTAAAGTCGTTCAACGATTGATAAACTCTTTTTTATTTTAAACAACCAAATCGGCAGAGCTCTTGAATGATTTTAATGTTATATTTTTTCCGATTAATATATTCTTAATTATTTTTTCAGATATAACCCAGTATGCTTTATATATCATATTATATTATCATTAGAATAATATCATAACATCATTAGTAATTATTTCTATATTCTATTAGTGGACGAGTTTTATCGTTTTTAATAGGAAATTGGTTTGTTCGTGCATCATTATAACTACTGTACATCAGTGTATCATTTCATACAGAGTATTGTATTATTGAAATATTATTTTCGTAATCGCACACTAGGTGAACCATATTGAGTGAAGAGCTCTATAGTGGCTTACCAATTTATAGGTATTATCTTTATAGGACGTTAACATCGATGCAGGGACAAAGTGTGGGGAGTAAGCACGTACATTTCTATGGAGTAACATTCTGAAGAGGAATGTCATCTAATGTGACGGGTGCACGGTAATGGAAAACTTAAATTAAGACTGGTTAAATGTTTACAGATTTTTGTTTATTCTACGAAGGGGGTGTCAATCATTACGTATGGGTCTTAGTTTTGACCATACTGTTGTACAGTATCTCCGGTTAGATTATATTCGAACGTGGGCTCTTTTTCTATCCATCCAAAACAGCCCAGTTCGACCATTAGCTGGTTCCAAAATAGTTTCAAAAAACCAGGAGGTGAAAAAGTGAAAAAATGTGTAACAAACCTCAAATCAGTATAATATTTATCTCACAATAAATCTGATTCAACGATGGAATTTAGTTGAAAATAAATCGTAGATAGGAATTGCTGGTATAGTTGAGATTTCTAAATAAAATGGATAGCTACAAAATGACCGTGTTTCTGTCCATGTTTTTAGTGGAAAATTAAAAATGGCAATAATTTCCACGATAAATTAAAAAATAATCTAAGACATCCACACTACCATACAGTTTTGTATATTCGAACATCGAGTACGACAGTAGGTTTATCTGTAAACACGTATATTTAATTACTCGCATTTTATGGCTCTAAGAACGATTTTATGGACGTACTTAAACATCTGATTACTATATATGCATTAGCATAAAATGAATAATATATTATACGATCGTATAATAAATTATTGTGAAATTTATAATCACGATAAGGCCCAATTATAACTATTAGACGAGTCTACGATTATATTTTTCACAATAAAATATGATATTAAAAATAATAATATTATTTGAGGATATTGCAGGCAGGCGGTGAGCTACAAGTTCTTCAAATAAATAATTAATATTGTACTATGATATAATATGAAACTAGAATACAAGTATAAAATAGATGCGTTGAAGTTAAAGTTACACAGTCTATTAGGTTTTTGAACGCAGTGATTAAAATCTCTGAGCACACATATGTATAGTGTCGTAGAAATAAAATATACGACTATACGAGTATATACCTACACGACTATATGTGAACATGTTAATGTATGTAGGGTCTCGAACGGACGATATCGCGTCAAGTAAGAATTCTTAAAAAAAGATTTTAATTCTTACGAGTCACGAGACACACGAGGGGGGGACACGATATTATTTCGACGCGATTCCGCCGTGGTCTATATATAGTACACACGAAAATACGGTTCGTTAATATTTTAAAAGTTCATATAGTGTAGTGCATGTAGACGGCATATATTATGTATATAAGGACGGCCTTAGGCCAATTCTATAACACAGTTTACACACACATATTATATTGTAATACACTTATGTGCGTGTACGTGCGGAAGAATCACAATATCGTAAAAGTTTTTTCTCTTTATATTCCGCGTTCTCTGTTTCCTATATAGTGTAGAAGACTATATTTTATTATTACATCTACCGTATCTGAGATCCATGTTATTACACGGCAGCTCACAAGTGTACAACGAGTGTTGTATATTATTTTTACCACATTGATGGACGTGCCGAGTATAAAATAAAATCTTCTGCCCGGGCCTATATTGTGCCATACGCGCGAATATGTATACCGTCCATTATTATCTAAACATAGCAATAAATAAATTAGGAACGGCACTACATCGCTTGTCTATAGGTGGTAATAATATTATGCTCGAGCCGAACTCGTAATAGAAATAGATTGTTTTTGGGTGAGATTTTTTTGTTCCTCGTCAAGTCCCGAATCGACGCAATCCACGGCCAGTACTGCTATTATATACCCTGGACGGTCACTATATAACCGACACAGTACACGACCGCATCGTTACGCCGAAACAGCATTATCATAATATTAATACAAAGGTTGATCACCTATAAACCATAATAGAATAGAATATTTTTTTATTTTTTCGTATGATTTAAAAAGTTTATCGCGATGATCACTGCCACCACCGTAGGATTTATCGTCGGCTTGTTATTGAAGACCTCTGTAGCAGTCCAACAGAACGTCTCATTTCTGAATGGACTTCCGGAAAACTTCACGTCGGATGGCGCCATCGATGTGCAGTACACGTCGTGCAAAGTAATCACCGACCGTATCGTGGCCACCGCCGAGGGAAAGTTTTCACGTTTTTGTCATGGGATTTGCAACATAAGTATACTATATAAACCTCCACAATTTTTATCGATTATACATAAGAAGATACCTCTTCATTAGACCTAAGATATTATAATTTATACTAAAGTGTATATTTATTTTTATAACACGATATTTCTATTTTATTTATAATGTAGTTGCGTTCAGTGAGAAAGTCGAGACCAATAATACGACTATCATTATTATTATTTTATCTTGTCTGCTAAAATAATATTCAGTATATTATATTATTCCGTAATACTACTGCGGGGTTAAAACGAAGCGAAAATTAACATTATAGGTATCATATTAGTGTACAAGCTGGCACGTATAATTAACATAGTAATTACTGTAATCTAACCGTCGAGTTGTTTGACGTTAAAGATAATGAAAATAAACATAAGGATATTCTTCACGCGTCGGCCCAATCTGTGTTTTAAATAAAAAAAAAACGATTCTCTTACAATTAGTCAAAACTGTATTTAAACATTCTCTTTCGACATTCAACAGAAAACATAATGTGTGGTTAATTTATTTTTAAAAAGTAAGTTCCTCGACCACTTAACAGAGGTACCTAATATTGTACTTTAATATGCAAGCTGACCTTCGCATGCACCATGTTATATTTTATTAGTTTATATTAATTATATTTTATATTTTATAGCATAAAAACAGTTTTACATAATATGCACATTGGCTCAACAATTGGATTACATTTTTTTCTAACTTTTAATTATAGGTACTTTCGTATTGATTTATTGTACGTAAAAATAAGTACGATGGAAGTTTGCGCAATAGTTATTATAAAACATATTTATGAAATATTAAGTATGACAATACGGGATAAACAATTATAATTGTAGACGACATAGCCCCTTGAAAATACTCGAATGTGCTATTTATGTATATTATAACCCTAAAGCGATTTCGTTACCTTCTCGGGGGGCGTACACGGATCGCGATTTTTAACACTAGTTGTCCAGTATTGTCATGTATAGTATTTGATGATACTATATCATAACATTTGTAACTAACGATTAAAGTTTATTGTAATTTCAGATGAGACAAACGCAAGGCTGCATCGCATCGAAACTTTGTTAACAGCAGATGCGGAAAATATAAAACAACGATTATTTTATATGGAACGTGTTTTGTTGAACGGACAAATCATAAGGTGCATTAAAAAATATTAAATATCGACAAAAAATATAACGATATATAGGCACAATTATTTGTATAAGTCTTGACATAGGCCGATATTCGACACATGTCTCGTCCATACTGACGCAAGCTAATAATATTGAATTTTGATCAAAAAAATCTGTACCTACATTAACTACAAACAAACTCGTATTTTTACCAACAACACGGCATCATTTTTTTCTCATCGTTATTTGTACAACACTTTATTACTATATAACTGTCACTTTACTTTTTTAGTTTCACATTTCCAACGTATATGTTTAGAGATGTGGAAATGTACTGATAAACAAATTACGGTAAATTTGGTGTCTTTTTTTTTGACCATCAATTGTTTTAATTATTTACCTATATATATTATTATATATTTGAAGCCATATTATTTAATACTTAAAGCCCATCGCTGATGACTTCGCTTACCAAAGCCCCCGGGAATTCTGTCGGGCCACGTTGACCCCATGGGGCTTTAGCCTTGGGACCCATGGTCTCCCTTTACATCTTGAAATATAAAAACTGTAATTTAAAATATTTAATAATAATAAATTATACGCCTATATTGAATCGCAGACCGCCGATAAATATTCTGTAAATTTGTTATTTTCAGAAAACCCAGTGAGGGTGACGCGGTGGACACAGGGAGACTCCGGGAGATCGGTACGTACAACGGCACAGTGTCCACCACCGAGGATGGCCCCTCATCAGGGGCCCGACCACGGGGTCCGACCACCGCGTTCGTCTACTACTGGCGCGTGGACGAGTTCTGGAGGCTGTCGTTCTCAGCGGACGGCCTGGCCCGCAGCCCGCCGTTTTACGTGTCGCCCCGCAGCTACCGTATCTCGCTGACCGTCCACTCAGACGTGACGGCCCGGACGGTCCGCGTGGCCGCAGTGCCGGCCGCCGGCGAGTACGACGCTCAGCTCAGGTGGCCGTTCGCTCACCGGCTCCGGCTCAGCGTGCTCGACCAGACGGACGTCGGGCCCGAGGACATCGTGTCCCGCGTCTGGGACGACGTCCGGTGCGCCGCCTCACCACCGTCACCGCCGACACCGCAGCACTACCGCCAGAACCAGCCAGCCCCGGAAGTCGTCTGCGCGTCTATGGAGTTCCGGCATGACGTGCTGACGTACAGGCGTTACGCGGCCGGTGACGCGCTCGTCGTCAAGCTGACGGTGTTCTTGCAGCAGTAGCCGGGCACGTGGACATCTGACCCCTGTGATTCATATATCACCATCACCACCACCACCACCACCACCACCACCACCACCACCACCACCACCACCACCACCAATACCACCACCACCACTAACACCATCACCCCACCACAACCATTTTCGTTTTTCCGTTTTATTTTTTTCGACCTCGATCCGCGTGACAGTTCCACCCGATTGAGACGTTTTTTTATAATTCACAGTGTATACTGTATACCCTATATTCCCCCCATCATCTATACCCTATATTATACAATATTGCCCCGTTTATAAGCGTATATCATCGACTTGTGTTCACAGCTACGAAGCTGTATATCGTGTAATGTGCCTTTTGATTGGCTGTTAAAACCGTGGTATCATTCATTAACCATAGGTACATGATCTATCCGGAAATTTCCTTAGTTAGACCACACTCGACTATATTGGACTGCAGACTTTCACTTCATTTTTTGAAATAAATTGGTCATATCCAAATATGCGGTCTACCTAGTACTTATTACCACCGTTTCGTGTACTAGTGTACTACCTAACTATAAATAAGTATGTGTAGGTACCTATAGTGTGTGGTCTACAGTTGGTTTGTGTTGTACTAATAATAATACACTTGGCTATCCGCATTACAATGACTATCCACGCATCATTATGGTTTTCGTATTATAGTACACCTAGTGTACCCTACCTACATTTTATCTTTAAATCTCTCAGTGATACACATTTAGTTTTACATTTCCTGCAGTGGTGTACTCATGGGGGGAGGGGGTTCATGGGTTTGAACCTCCCCCATCGGCCGTAATTTTTTTTTCACTTTCATATACTCTAAAACAAATGACCGTAGATACTTGACATTTTCACTGATTGTTTATATTATCATTTTCTATACACAATAAAATGTATTATTAATATTATTTGGATTTATATTGAACTGTTTACGGACATTTTCAGTTTCTAATTTTGTTTGTTTTTTTTCCTATGAATGTTAATAAAATTTTATTTGTTCTGTATAAAAGCTTGAAAATTTAATACAAGGCTCTTAGTATATTGTTACAATGACATTTGAAAAATATTAAAAACCCATAAGCACAAATTGATCATATGTTTATTTTATCAATTCCTATACGGCTCTACTTGATAAAATTGGCCGTGAAAAGAGGCAGCGGGTCTATGTACAGATAAGTTTATATTATAACTTATAAGTTTAACAAGTTTACAAATCAAAAATGTACAGGTTAATAAAAAATTTATTTTAAAAAGAAAAAGATTTATTCTTGTTGGCAATGTACAATATCCTATAAATTGACCAGTTACAAAAGTAGTTAATAGTGTAAAACGGTAAAGAGAATGGATAGAGATCATGGACTGAAACTTGAAAGTAAAGTGTTTTGAAATGTTTGGCAAATTATTATGGTTTTATAATGATTATTAAAGTATGAATGTCGAAAAGCTTAGTTTTTGGTTGCATTATTTTACTTTTTATATTCATATGATTTACTAAATACTGCTCACTATAGGTACCTATACTGTCTACTAAAATGGTAAGATACATAAATACATAATAACCCAACATTTGTAAATATTATGACTACGGGTGGTGTGGGGGGCAGAGCCCCCCACTATTTAATTCTAGTAAATTTTTAGAATAAACCCCATAGAAAATTCCTGAGAACGCCACTGATTTCCTGTAGTGTTAATATTATGAAATCAATGATATAATATTATATTTATGACTTATAGAGGCAACAACAGTCTTGTTGGTCTAGCGTCGTTTGTGGGATATTGTTGTGAGTTACCCCCAATCTACTTTTTAAAATGATTGTAAAAAATAATGTGTTCCTAAAGTTTAATATTTTTTTAAGCGAGCAATCAAACATTAAACAGTTAGGTGTAAATAATAATTATACAAATTTTTTTATTTTATTAACATTAAAATCATAATTTTTTCTTAAACAATTATTTATTTTACTTAAAATTGCTTATAAGTTACAATAATCTTATAAAATGTATGTTGTATAGATTGCAGTATAATAAATTACCTAATATAATTTTATTATTATAGCTGCGGACCGCACATTTTTTTGGTAGACCGACTATTGGGAGATAGCCAATTAATAAACAGGTATAATAATGTGGTATATATTATTTATATATATAGGTATGATCGCTGAAATGATTATAATATAATATTATACAAAACGTTCTATCAATATACGATTTCTATATACTTCTATCGATCGAATGAAACGCCCAGTAGAATGTGCTGCTATATGCTCACCAGAATGTTTAGAAAAAGTGACTATTAAATCCTTATTGACTTTCATACTGTATTATATTAAATAGTAGACTACACAAGATCGGTAGTCTAATATTATAATAATTATCACTGGTTTTTCGAATTCTTTTTCAGTTCACACCATATTGTGTATGTACCACCTATTATTATTGCAATAAAAACATAAAAACTATGCATCTATATCGACAGATATTTTGAATTTTTTTAGGTTATCTCTAATTCAGTGTCTACTTCTATAGCAGAGTTTTGTGTATTTCATAATGCGACTTGTACGATTATTGTTTTTTGTTTTAACCACCTCTTTTCAACACGAGGGTGAACAGTCATTTTGGAGGGAAATCGAGGACTGAAGGCACGTACCCACCGTGGTATACAATATACATATAAACTTTGGTAAAATACATAAAACATAAAACATAAATACATAAAATAAAAGCACGAACCTTATTTTAGATTGATGACGGGAAAAGTTGTGTGGTATGTGTCAATTTCATCTTAGTGATTATGATGCGGAGACCATTACGTAACTATACTAGTGTTTTGTAGGTCCAGTATGATGTGTATCATATAAGACTATATCGTTAATGAATTGATTGATGAACCGTTAAAAGGTAAAATTCAAAATAAAAACATTCATCAAAGACTTTCACCAAAGCTTCCGATCACTAACAACTTAGGTGTAAGTACCTATATTGAATTAAAAATATTTTAAATTGATTATAAATTATTTTTTTTTTTGCATATCTAAGCATTTTTTTTATAGAAAACCCCGACGATTCCAACCTATAGTAAACATATGATTGTAACTTGTAATAATATCTGCTTTAAAGTTTAATTTTTTTTTTCACGACGTTCGGTCTCCAGCGGAAAGCGAGCCCATTTCCTGTACAGATAAGTAATATAATAATATGTTTTTTCTTATTTCTCTCTGTAGCTGAATTAGTACCTACCTATAGTTTTGATTATCGACTCTTCAACGTTATTAAATGGGCACACATTTTTTTCTAGTGAATACGCCATACGATACCACTTAGCAAACTATGTACACTGCACACAATATACACACTCGTTTAATCAAATAGTTTTTATAAGTAATACTCATAATATTTGAGTGCTTTCAAAAGACCGTCGGAAAACATCGACGGAGAACCGCTTTACTGTATACACTGTACAAATAATAATATGAAATTATATATTATAATAGTATAATTCAGATGTGAGCTCCAGGATTTTATATTTAGAGTGTAGAAATGCTACACTAAATGCTGTGTGTCAATATTACACTTGGCTGCTCTTGATTTTCAATTAATAACTTTTAGTGAGTGATTCAGCGGTGAACATCATTGATTATATAAATGTTATACAAATAGGTATTAAGTCTCGAGATAGTCTGTTATACACAGAGAAATGCGAATAATACAGTCACTATAATACATTCAATGCACCATAATATACTGATTATAGTCTATAATACTATATTATAATGCATTCAGTTATCTAATCATTTTTTTATAAACTTGTTTAATTTAATTTTACTTCATGACATAATATAGTACTAGGTACCACCCTTTAATTATAATAATTAAGTACTTTATTAGGGTATTATAAATCGTATAGTTTTGATTTAGACCCATAAATTCAAATACAATTTGGTTTACCTGCCTACAATGTGTAAGTACCTAAATTTAGCCTGGTATTTTGGGATAGGACATGGAACCAGATCTCCTGATATTCCTGCATGTCACGAACATATTCATGTAAATATCGCATAGTATAATTTATTTAAAAAACAGACCATAAAAAAAGCATTGTACACAATCCCTTTTCTACAATGGGTTATTGATATCTAAAATCAAATTTGGAATTTTCCAATTGATAGCTATGTATAGTGTATACAAAATATTGATACGTTTATCTTAAGATACCAATACAAAATGTATTTTAGTAATATTGATAATCGATCTGCAAAAAGCTGTCATTATTCTTATCTTTTCAACAAGGAACGTTTAATGCATCGAACACTGGGCTCTGGTATGACAATATTATAATACACCTAGTACCTACTCCTACATATTATTATAACCTATACATTTTGTATTGTAAAAACAAAATTGGAGTAATGTGCACAAGTGCGCACAATCACACACTCAAATATATTAATTGTACTATGGCACCGAATATGTAGATGTAACTACTACGCAGTGGTAGTAAAGAATACCACACACGTGGACGAGGAACTGTTGTTTTTTTTTTCCATCAAGTGTAAACCTAACCTAGTTAGGTTAGCAAGCATATTGTAATGAAAACTATTGAAAATAATAATATACATGCTGATTTTTATTTAGGTATAAATGTATAATGCTTGCTATATAATATATTAGGTATACCTATATAGGTAGCCAGCTGTACGTGCTGCAATTCACTTTTGTACAGCTCGTTATTACTTATTTCATGTAATATATTGTGTGAAGTACATATATTGTTTTATTAATAAAGTTATTTGTTTGTACCTAGTTATATTATCATACGCTGTATTATAATATACGCGCTCGACTCAATATTTTGACACTGCATGAATTAATATTATAAATAACAAATTTTAGATGTTTCTGATTTTAGTTAATTAAATAAATATTGATAAAATAAATGTATGATTGATCAAAATGTGGTTTGAAAATCTAATTAATTTGGA